GCGAAGGAAGATCGATGCTTTTGAGCTGTGGTCTTGGAGGAAAGTGCTGAGAGTGCCTTGGACTGCGAGAAGATCCAACCAGTCCATCCTCCAGGAAATAAAGCCCGGCTGCTCACTGGAGGGAAGGATACTAGAGACAAAGTTGAAGTACTTTGGCCACATTATGAGACAGCAAAGCCTAGAGAAAACAATTATGCTGGGGAAAGTGGAAGGTAAAAGGAAGAGGGGTCAACCAGTGACAAGATGGATGGATGGCTATCCTTGAAGTGACTGGCTTGACCTTGAAGGAGCTGGGGTGGTGACGGCCGACAGGGAGCTCTGGCATGGACTGGTCCATGAGGTCACGAAGAGTCGGAGATGACTGAACGAATGAACAACAACAACAACAGTGAATATCTCTTGCATCCACTTCTCAATGTTTTCAAACTGCATTAATTCTACAGTGTTGATGCACTTCAAACCTGAATTTGAGAGGTGCTTTGTCATATTAAGTATGAGCAATTCTTAAAAAACACCTCTCACCCACACCCCACACAAACATATACACATGAACCAACTCCACATGTTTACTCAGATAGGATCTAAGCTAACAGTGATTGAACCGGAAAGGTATCTTCAGACTGATAGATGGCACAGCAATCACAGTTCAAATAATTTAAAGGTTAAGCAGCTCTTTAAAAATCCATAGGCATCTGTTTATTAGATTTATATTCTACCTTTCCTCCTAAGAGTTCAAGGCATAACACTCCCCTTCCTGCTTTATCTTCATAGCCTCTGATGGGTGGCTGAGAGGAAGGAAGAAAAACCCGCCTGAGGATACCAGTTATTTTTATGACTCGCTGGGGACAGGCCTTGGTTCTGCACTGGAACCACCACACTATAATGAAAAATCCCAGCTAGATATAAAAGGAGTGTTTTGACTGTGAAGCGTGCTCAAAAGAAGCTCATGATTCTGTAGAACTGGGAGGCATTGTTCCCTTTCTCCCACCTTCAGTCCTCAGCACACCTCCAAAACCTGTTGTGCAGGATTGGCTAGAAATCTTGTGGCAGTTTTTGTGTGTGGAGGGCTGTGAATACACACACAGGACAGCATAGCTAAAATAATCTCATACATATGTTATCTTCTTTTATTCACATTCACAGCTTGCTAAACAACACTATAGTGTAGTTCTGTGTTTTGTTGTGCTTCATTCATTCAGTCGTTTCCGACTCTCCATGACCTCATGGACCAGCCCACATCAGAGCTCCCTGTCGGCCATCACCACCCCCAGCTTATTCAAAGTCAAGCCAGTCACTTCAAGGATGCCATCCATCCATCTTGCCCTTGGTCGGCCCCTCTTCCTTTTTCCTTCCATTTTCCCCAGCATCATTGTTTTCTCCTGATGTTGCCAAAGTACTTCATCTTTGCCACATCTGTATTTTATATCCATATTATAAGTGTACGTTTTTCAACCATGCAAATTGATATCAAGACGTGCATTTTCACTTGGGAATTAATGCAGTCAGAAACCACTTTAACTATTGCAACTCATAACAACAACCATGCAGAAAAGCAGCATTTCTATAGTGCCTCCTGAAGAAAACCAAAGCCACATGTGTCCCTGAATTTTCTAAATCTGAAGGCAAGAACATCACAGGGAGCTTGCAATCATCAGGGTCCTCTGAAGTTCAGAAAGTGCCCAGGAGATAATGTCATTGGGAGAGCATGTTGTCAGAGGATAATGGTCTCCTGCTGCTAGATTAAAGCCTCGGAAGCCTGAGTCCTCTTAGTGAAAATACACACAAACCCACACCGAGCTATTTGTGGTATTTTCAAAGGAAGAAGCATTTATCTTGTAACATCTTGTAGCATTCCCTTTCTCAGTCTGCTTTATTGTTGTAGCAAAATAGAAAAGAAAGATGTAATTCTGTAGAATATATGTAAGTGCTTCACTGTTTCCCAGTCGTTTCCATCTGGATTCTTGTCTGCACTTATGAGTATATTTAAATGGATTTTAAATACCCCAATATAAATTTTAAAGATGTGCACAACTTCATCACAAAGGGCTACAATCAGAGGCTCCATCCTCCTTCACCAACGTAGCCAGTGCAATGTCATATGATGGGAGCTAGCAGGTTCAGTGGGTGACCTTGGCTATAATTGGCACATGCCGCTGATTTTAGCCCTTTGTGATGAGGTTGAGCACATTTTAAAAATTTGTATTGGGGCATTTAAACTTCATATAAATATGCTCATAAGTGCAGACAAGAATCCAAGCAATGGTAGATTGTTTTTTTAAAATATTATTATTGTAGGATTCATTACTAATATTTGCATACTACACCTTCTTGTTTAAAATTGCTATTTCATTACATATTTTATGAAGTTTTTAAGTTGCTGTACTTGAAAACCTCAATTGTAGAACTGAAAGGTGATAGTAGGGAGTGTATATAATATTGTGCAATGGTTCTAAGATGTACGTAAGATTCATATTTACATGTCTTTCGTTACAGCAGGTTTGTAAATTTGACAACTAAATATCACCGTGTGCATTTCCCTCACAAACTTTGCATCTACGCTCTAGAATTAATATAGTCTGATACAACTTTTAACTATCATGGTTCAATGCTATGGAATTCTGAGATTTGTAATTTGGTGAGAAACTAGAATTGTTTGGCAGAGAATGCTAAAGGCCTTGTAAAACTACATCTCCCATGATTCCATAGCATTGTGAAAGAGATGCCAAATTGGATTAATTCAATATCAAAAGAAATCCCAATGTGCATTTTCTGCCTAGTGAACTGAACTGTGAACACTCTCGCCCATATAAAATTTCACTTCTTTTGAACTATTTTTCCATTTTTTAAAAATATCAATTCCTCAGTCCTAACAAACTTGAAAGAGTACCCCCTCCATATTTCAGTCTAGAACCAGAGATCTGATTAGACACAGCACTGCTCTAGAAGAGTAAACACTAGGCTTGTTTGATTTAAAAAATGGTCCAAAACTCGTTTCGTATGTAGGGGGCGCTGGCATTTCAGATCGGAAATAATTTCTGAAATTTTCCGGGGGGAAAGGCGGAAATATCAGAAATTTCTGAATTGCTTCGTTAATGGCAGACACGCATGTGCAATAGGAAAGAAACAGCACTGGCACTGGGGAAACTTCAGGGGATTGTCCCTTCCTCATTTTTAGACCAATTGTGATGAAACTTGCTACAGTGGTAGAACACATGGTTACTATTAGCTCACCAAATTTCATAACTTATGACTTATCCATGGGTTTATAGCAAATTTTCAAAGTTTTTATAAAAACTTTTTATAGACTGACCCAGCTTAAATACAAGTTCTGAATGGAAATTTTCTATAGGCAGCCATGGCTCAGGGAGAGCGCGCCGGCCTCATATGTCAGAGTTTGGCAGTGCACAGCAGAAGGATTGCTAGATCAGCAGACACTGTGTTGCAAAATAAGGACTCTGCAGGCTTTTAGTTACAAAAGAAACTAAGTTTTACTAAGCACATTCAATAAATACGTCTTACTACAGCGAGCTACAATTCAGGAACTAGTCAAAACGAAAGTCTCTTCACATCTGCTTATCTCTCTTGCTGAGACTAGCTACTCCCTTCTGTTCCCAGCAAGAGCAAATATTATCTTACTTTTCTCAAGGTCACATAATCACAGCCTCATGGAATTAACATTCTGCACAGCATTTCTAATACACAGTGGAATCCATCCTGGAAATACATAGAAGCACATTTAAAACACATACATAACTAAATTAATCCTGACAACAAGTCTGTGGGTTCAATCCCCCTCCCCTGCCAAGGAATTTTTTTTCAATTTTAAGTATTTTTTTTAAATAATAAAGGAAACATGTTCCTGGTTTGAATTTTGAATGTTTTTTCCTGTTTCTTTGTGTGATCTTTACTTGGAAAGTAGTTGTTCTACTCCAGAAACTTTGTGTGGCACAAACTGTTAATTTGGGGGAGAACAGAAAGCCAGACTCCCCGGTGCAGCAATCCTAAGGGACTCTAAAGGGATGGATGAAAGAAGGAATGTCTTTGAGTTTTGGGTGTTTCGGGGCTAGACTGACCCCACTACAGGAAAAAGAAGAACTGGTTTCCCACTGAAGTATAAATTCTGACTTGGTTTTACTACAGGGCTTGCTGAAAAGGAAGGTGTGGAGAGTCATGGAGGCTCCCCTTTTGTGGTGGACACACATGCTATCTTTATTGCAAGGAAAGGCTTTGCTGCCTTCTCTTTAGACACCTTTGTAGATTCAGTTTATTTTATATTTAGGCAAAGACTGCTGCTCGACTATTTTGGCTAATGAGCAGCAAGGCAGTGTGGAATTATTCTGTAATGTTCGGGTGTCTCCCATGGTTATTTTGATTTTCAGAACCATTAAGCAACTTTGGTAAAGCCTGAACAAACAGTTTTAAAATCTCGCAGTTTCCCTTCCCTGGTGAGTGGCGATGGAAAGAGGGATGAGGTAGGCATGGCTAAGCACAGCCATTCTTGAAGGCTACACCCCCAATGGTAGAGATTGCAAAAGGTCCTACAAACTACAGGACCTTTTGCAATCTCTACCATTGGGAGCGTGGCCTTCAAGAATGGCTGTGCTTAGCCATGCCTACTTCATCCTTCTTTGCATCACCACTCGCCAGGGAAGGGAAACCGCAAGATTTTAAAACTGTTTAGGCTTTACCAAAGTTGCTTAATGGTTCTGAAAATCAAAATAACCATGGGAGACATCCGAACATTACAGAATAATTCCGAACAATGGCTAAGTGGTTCAAATTCCGATTTGCCCCTCCTTGCATGGTTCGAAATTGGTTCAAAAGTCCAAATTCGGCAGGTTTTCCTTACTTTAAGGTTTTTCCTAACTGAACCTAAACAAGCCTAGTAAACACAAATAGTTCTAATGAAAACTTATCCTCACAGGTGATAATGTGCATTTTTCCTTCTTCTATGTTTACTCAAATCAAAATCATTTTTTCTCCTTCTGTTGTATTTATAGTGCAAATTGGATTTCCATGCCTGCACATCTGGCAAAAATATTGTGGCTCGATGTGAGGGGCCCTGCCCGTGTCTTCCAGGACATGAAAGTCCGAAACACAAGACTGAGAAAACTGGTGAGTTAATTATTATTATATTATTATATTATTATAACTTTATTTGTACCCCGCTAGCATCTCCCCAAGGGATTCGATGCGGCTTACACAGGCTGAAGCCCCAAAACACAATACAACAAAACAATACCCAAAGCAAATTAAAACAGTTAAGCAGAAAAACAATAATGGTAAACAATACAACAAGACACTATTAAAACTGGGCCGGCCGGAGTAGGGGTATTGGGTTAAAAGTGCTGGTGTGGCAGTTAATTAGTTACATTCGATTTTGAATGTTTCCCTAATGACATGCAACAGAGTTCTTCATATGGAAAGATCCACTAAGTACAGTGTACTTCATTATTAACAAAATGGCCCCAGGAATGCAATCGGTGTCATGGCACTTGGATTACAATTATCAAGCTCTTTTTGGGGGGCTTTATGAAGGAAGCTCAAAAGTTTCGACTATTCCTTTTGGAGTTCCAGATTGCTGGTTCTGAAATACAGAAAAAGTCACTGGAGCTTTGTAACTGAATTGATAAGGTGATGTAAGTTCATGTGAAGGACAGAAAAGTACAAGCAGATGATGACAGCATATAACATCTTGATCAATGCACAGGCCAAGAACTCAGTCATAGGGACAGGGGTAAAAAAATTACAATTTTCTTATGCTAAATCCCCTGTAATGAAACTATTTAGGACATTTGTTCAAAAGGATTGATTTTCATTTGCCAGTTCAGAACCAAAAAATAGCTGCCTATTTCACAACAGATTCCCACACATGTCTACTTAGCTTAGAAGTGGCTGATCTCGAGCTGTGGTTCAATGGCAGTCTTTCCATCTAGTAATAGCATAGGGAGATATAATGCTCGTGACAATTCTGAGACTTCACAGAAATATTTTGAGAAAGAGCTGTGCTTCAAATATTTGTTTAAAAGTTAATGTCAGTTGATTTTAGGTTTTTTGTTTGTTTGTTTGTTTTTGCTGATGAGGCTGAAACAAGGCCCCATTTTTAAAATATGAATGGCATTTGTTTTACTAATATAACAGTAATGGTTTCAAACTACATTTAAAGGGCAGTTAGGGTATTTTTTGACATGAATATTCCAGGTTTTATAGAATTCTCTTTCCAAAACTGAAGTTTTTTTCTCTTTATAAAATTCCAAAATATGGAATAAAAATTCCACAAATAGCAAAACGGATAACACAAGTTATCATTTCAACACTGCAATAAGTAAAATCAACAAATTATTTTGAAATACTGTAACAGGTTTAAATTAATCTCAAAAAGTAACTTTTCAAGCTGTCTTTTATTGAATTGCTGATTTTTGTTGGGAGAAGAGCCAGAGGCAAGGTTCTTTATTGTGAGTTATTGGTCAAAAAATGAGCATTTAATTGGATCACTCTTCTTTCCAAGCACATTCTTTATTCCCCCTCCTCCCATTTTCATAAATCCTACCTGATGTGGCTAGAATGGCTTTGCGTGTAACTAAGAAATTACACACACGCTTCTTTCTCTCCCTTTCTTTCTTTCTTTCTTTCTTTCTTTCTTTCTTTCTTTCTTTCTTTCTGTATGTGTACACATATAAACACAAACATATACATTACTTTAACTCTCTTAATATGTGCCTTCTATGCCCTTTCACATGCCCTTATCAGAAGGAATATCATCGTAATACATCTTCAGTGACATTTTAAGTTCACAATTTCATTCATACAAGAGGAATTAATTCTAATAATGCTTACATTGATAAATTCAATATGACGGAAGATACAGTTCAGCAGGGCAATCTTTTGTTTTGGCTGAATTTTCAATTAGTTAATTCTGCAAGTTTGCTTATTTTCTAAAATGCCATTCCTTGGATGCATGAGACAATAATTGGTTTGGAAAGAAATTCCTCAGGACCAAAGTCCATTTGTTATCTACATATGAATGACTGTATGTATATGATATGTACCTGGGTCTTTCCTCTGTTGATCATTTGTTGAAGGCATCACCTTTTCTTCCTGTAGTCAAGTTGGGCAGCAGTGATAGAGATTCATCTCCTTACTCCTGTACTCCTCCACACATGCCTTCGATCCTGGAATGATCTGGGATGTTATATCCCAATTCCTTCCAGGATTGAAGCCTCAAACTCATCTCAAACCCCAAGCTTTCCCTGGAGGTGGGTGGTAGATACATGCCCAGGAGGGCATCTAGCGAGCCACCAGTCCCTCATTTACTCCCTAAACTTACCTGAGAGGACTGGCTGCATGATCAGACCCCTCCGCCGAAAGCTTCTGGCATGTCAAGACGAAATATTGGTAGGTTGGAAGGAGATGGAGGGATTTCCTTCTCCTCCCCCCCCCCCCAACCTTCTGACATCATTTTGTAGGGTCTGAAACTTTTAACGGAGGGGCCTGAGCATGTGCCCATACCTGGAAATCATTGGCCCACACCTAAAAATATCTGGACCTTACATTAAGGTCCGGATCTTTCCAGGTGTCTAATTAATCTGAAGAAAACTGGGAAATCCCAGTTTATTCTAGATCAATTTGGGTTTACCTGAGGTGTCATTTGAAAACCTCAGGTAAACCTGAGATAGGCCCCGTCTTTTGGGCCTGTCTGGAAGTGCCCTAAGTTGGAAGTGCCCTGCTGGTGCTGACTAACGTTTTTTCAATAGCTAGGAGAAAACATGTTAGCAAGAACTGGCTGCTGTTAATAACATGTCTCCCACCCATTTGCAAGATATCTGGTCAGAATTACTCAGTGAAAATACTTTCAGTCTTGATCACCTATATTTCGAGTGACTGCATAATAGTTTTCACTAACATTGCATTTGATACTTAACTGACACACATCCAAATATTTCCCTACTTATTTTTAAATTGTATCCAAATTGACATGTAAATGGTGTGTGGCTCAAGAACAAACTGTGATACCAGAATTGATGTGTAGCTTTTTCTAATTTTTAATGTTCTAATAGTATTTATTACTGATTTGTATTATTTTGTTTTAATATTTTAATGTGTTGCTTACATGTTACCCATCTGTGAGGCATGAATATGTGACTGCATCAGTGGATCTCAGTTCTTTGCCCTGGCCCTGCACTCCCATACTGCCCCTCCCCCCCCCCCGGGCCACCGACTTGTAATGTTGAGTACAGAGTTTAGAATAGGAAGTTCTAATTATGAGCAGTTACTCATTTATTTGGGCTCCATGTGATTTGGATACAGGTTGCTTGGAAATTCAATGTGCAAGTGAAGACCTTCCTGTTCAAGACCTTCATGGTCCAATAGATGGAGGCAGAATTAACCCAGGAGAGGAAGTGTTATAAATGAGGCTGCAAGAACTGCTTTCCTCCTGTGGTTGTGTGTGATTGTGCTACATGTCACTCATTTGTGCATAAGCCTCCCTATATGATTCCTCAGATATGCACCTCACAGAGATAACATGTCTGTTGTCCCAACCTAGCTCTGCACTACCAGTGATTTTATGTCCTGTCTACAGAACTGTTATTTAAATACAAGCAGCAACTTCATTGTGCTGTCTAGTATGAAACAATAAATCTCTCAGATATTAATTTCTTTTTTCAGTGAGCGTGTCAGATACAAGATTCCCATTACTGAATTTTTCTGATAGATGATGCCATATTTCCCTCATTTAACGAGAATCTGAATTTGTGAAATCAGGACCATATTGCTAAGCAGAAATATAAGGCAGGCATGCTAAAACCATTGTTTCAGTAGCATAATGTTATGAAGAAAATAATGCATGGAATTCTAGAGCCAAAGTTTTGGGCAACATGTGGCTTGTTCGACTATTACATAAATGCTGTTCAATAGCAATAACCATGGTCTTAACTCTGTTGTTAGTCCTAATTAGAGTGGACCCACTGAATCCATGTGCTTTACCTGTGTATTGAATTATAATTAATCCAATACATCTGTTCTAGCTGGGGCTAAGCATCAGTTTTCTAGTCTATGTGGTTCATTTCTAACTTCAAAAGGTTTTTTTTTTAAATTAATCTGCGTACATTCTCTATTGAATGTCAATATTATTCTCAGTTGATTTTCAGGATGCCTTTATATTTGCCATTACTTTTAAAGTAACAATTATCATTGAACAGACACATAACCCAAGTAGGAGGTGACTCCTTATCTTGGGATCCCATTTAAATAAACATATTCCATAGATTACTCAGTGAAAATACTTTCATTTGTCTTACTGATATATTTCCTCTGTGGTTTCAGATTCCAGTGTAGGAAAACCTTGTGTAAGAAATCACCAGTGATAGCGGGGCTCTGAATTTCTAATTGACTATAAGATGGTGTTAGAGCTTAACCATGTATGCTGAAGATTTGGAACAGGTGCATCTTGTATAGACAAGTTATCTGACAAAAAGGTGTTTTGCTTTGTTTTGTTGGATTTTTTGTGGGAGGACAATTCTGAAAACAGGATTATTATTATTATTATTATTATTATTATTATTATTTCATGTCAAAAGCACTGCATAAATGTTGAAAAGCAATGCTTTTAGGTTAGAAAGATTAGCCGTTTACAAGAAATGTTGCTCAGGGGACTCCCAACTATATATACTCAGTCTTCGAGGAGGCTCTTTCCATGTTCCCCTGAGAACAGGATGCAAGACAGCCAGACATGGGATATCAGTATCCAAAGGGATTTTGTAGCACTTCTGAGATGAATTGAAATAAACTGTAGCATAAGTTTTCATAGATGTGGGGCTTGTCTCCATGGGGCCCAAAGCCTGGACTCACCACAAAGTCCTTTGCACATCTTTCTTGGGTCTCTTGCAGTGTAGCAACTACACTGTAAAGAGTGGAGATGGCTCAACAGTATAGCTCAATAGACTGAATTTCAAGTCTGCAGAAGGGAAAAGCAGACTAATAATTTACTTTAATTATGTAGTTCTTTATTTCATGAGCAGCAAGTATCATAAAGCCATTAGCATAATTACTATTTTACTTAAATGGCAAGATGGCAAAGAAAAGAAAAATTAAAGACGGATTTGTCACTGTAATGA